AAAAAAAAACACAGGTAAAGAGATTTATCTGGCTGCAATTGCTCCACTGGAATTACTCAGCTTATTAATACATTTAAGTCAAGAATTTCCATATTTTTCTGGAGTGTGGAAAGATACTTTTGCTACTAGCTTAAATTTATCAGGCTTTCAAATAGAAAGCAGTTCTTTTTTAGTATCTCAGTTAAAAACAGAAATAAAAATAGGAAAAAATCTTCCTCTGAGGGTGTTTATTAAAACATCAGTGATAAAATTGCAGTAATCTTTAAGAAATGAAATTAAGATGAGAGAAATTATAGTATTTTTGCTGATAAGAATGATCCAGTAGAAAAACTAAAGATGCAAGGGAGAGTGCTAGAGGAATATCCTTAAGTAAGCAAAAGAGGATAAAATCTAGTATATAAGAGGTTTATGTCTTATGAACAGTGATTGTTTATCCATTATATAGAGAAGGAGGAATTATATGGGCACAGATATATGTAGGTAAATAGATGTAGTAGAAATTCTCTTTTAATAGCTTCTGTTACCTGAGTGAAAATGAGGATGAAAGGAGAGATAATGGGGGGCACCTGGGTGGCTCAGTTGGTTGAGTGTCTGCCTTCGGCTTGGGTCGTGGTCCCAGGGTCCTGGGATCGAGCCCCGTGTTGGGCTCCCTGTTCAGTGGGGAGCCTGCTTCTCCCTCTCCCTCTGCCCCCCAGTCATGCTTGTGTACTCTCTCTCTCTCCGAAATGAATAAATAATCTTTTTTAAAAAAGAAGAAAGGAGAGATAATGGAAATTTGAAGGGAGAGAAGACACCTGTCTGATGGTTTTCTAGAAGAATGAGAAAATGAATAGACCAAGGTTGCCAAACAGCTTCTGAACCAGTTTTAGGTATAAAAGATTTATAAGGTAAAATTATTTCTGGCCACAGATGACATGATCTTATATGTAGAAAATACTTAGTTCAGGGCACCTGGGTGGCTCAGTCATTAAGCGTCTGCCTTCGGCTCAGGTCATGATCCCAGGGTACTGGGATCGAGCCCCACATTGGGCTCCCTGCTCAGCGGGGAGCCTGTTTCTCCCTCTCCCGCTCCCCCTGCTTGTGTCCCCTCTCTTGCTGTGTCTCTGTCCAATAAATAAAATCTTTTAAAAAAAAGAAAAATACTTGTTCACACACACAAAGTTATAACTAATAAGCAAATTCAGTGAGGTTGCAGGATACAAAATCAACACTCAAAAATCAGTGGCATTTCTTTGCACTAAAAGTGAATAATCCGGGGGCACCTGGGTGGCTCAGTTAGTTAAGCAACTGCCTTCAGCTCAGGTCATGATCCTGGAGTCCCTGGATTGAGTCCCGCATCCCGCTCCCTGCTCAGCAGGGAGTTTGCTGCTCCCTCTGACCCTCCCCCTCTCATGTTCTCTCTCTCTCTCTCATTCTTTCTCAAATAAATAAATAAAATCTTTTAAAGAAAATAAATAAAAATAAAAGTGAACAATCCGAAAAGTAAATTAAGAAAACAATTACATTTACAATAACATCAAAAAGATTAAAATGCTTAGGAATAAAATTAACCAAGATGGTGAAAGGCTTCTACACTGCAAACTACAAAACATTGCTAAAAGGAACTTAAGACCAAATAAATAGAAAGACATCCCATGTTCATGTTTTGGGAGTCTTGGTATTGTTAAGATGATTGTTATCCACAGTGGTCTACAGATGCAGTGCAATCCCTGTCAAAATCCCAATGACATTTTTGTAGAAATAGAAAAACTGCTCTAAAATGTATACAGAATCTCTCAAGGGACACCAGATGGCCAAAACAATATTGAAAAACAAATTTGGAGATCTCACACTTCTGATTTCAAAAGTTAATGCAAGATCATGGTACTCAAACAGTATGGTACTGGCCTAAAGACAAACATATAGACCAATGGAATAGACTGGAGGGCCTAGAAATAAACCCTCACAGATATGATGAAATTATTTTTAATATGTGTGCCAAGACTCTTCAGCTTGCTCAGTTGGTAGAACATGTGACTCTTGATCTCGGGAGTATGAGTTTGTCCCACGTTTGGCACAGAGCTTACTTTAAAAAAAAAAAAAAACATTCAATGGGCAAAGGACAGTCTTTTCAACAAAGGGAGTTGGAAAAACTGGATATCAACATATAAAATAAAACCTCATGTCATATACAAAATTTAAAATGGATCAAAGACCTGAATGTAAGAACTAAAACTGTAAAACTCTTAGAAGAAAACATAGGAAAAACCTGATGACATTGGACTTGATAGCAGTTTCTTGGATAGTACACCACAGGCAGCAACAACAAAAAGGTAAATTGGATTCCATCAAAACTTAAAACTTTTGTGCATCAAAGGCACTATCAACAGAGTGAAAAGGCAGCCTACAGAATGGGAGATCATATATCTGATATAAGACTTATATCCAGGATACATAAAGAACTTTTATAATTCAACAACAACAAAACCAAACAACTCAGTTAAAAAATGAGCAAAGGACTTGAATAGACATTTTACTAAAGATATACAATACAGATGGCCAATAAACATAAGATGCTCAAAAGACTACTCATTAGGGAAATGAAAAATCAAAACCACACCAAGATACCACTTCACATCCGTAAGGATGGTTATTCTTTTTGAAAAGAAAGGAAAAAAATAAATGTTGGCAAGGATGTAGAGAAATTAGAACCCTTTTGCATTTCTGATGGAAGTGTAAAATGATAGAGACAGTATGGCAATTTTTCAGAAAATTAAAAATAGAATTAAATACCATGTGATCCTGGGGATTATACCCAAAGGAATTGAAAGCAGGACTCAAACAGATATTTGTATACCATGTTTATAGCAGCAATTAATCATAATAACCAAAAGATCAAAGCAACTTAAATGTCCGTAGATAAATGGACAAACAAAATGTATATATACACATTGAATACTACTCAGCTGTAAAAAGGGAAGTCTGATATATGCAACAGCATGGATGAACCTTGAAAAAGTAATCTTAAGTAAAATAAGCCAGACTCAAAAGAATAAATATTTTATGAAAGATATTTATTTTATCTTCCATTTATATAAGGTACCCAAAATAGGCAAGTTCATCAAGACAGAAAGTAGAATCGTGGTGTCCAGGGGCTGAGGGGATGAAGGACAGTCTTTAATGGGTATAGTTAAAATTGGTGTAGATGAAAAGGTTCTGGAGATGGAATGTGGTGATAGTTATACAATGTAACTGGACTTAATGCCACACAGTTGTATAAAATGGTAAAATTTATGTTATGTGTATTATAACCACAATTTTTTAAAAATAATAAATGAAGACATTCTTACTGTGAAGTCTTGTTTAAAAAAAGGTTTATAAAAGTGACTTTCATGGGCGCCTGGGTGGCTCAGTTGGTTAAGCGACTGCCTTCGGCTCAGGTCATGATCCTGGAGTCCTGGGATCGAGTCCCACATCAGGCTCCCTGCTCAGCAGGGAGTCTGCTTCTCCCTCTGGCCCTCCTCCCTCTCATGCTCTCTGTCTCTCATTGTCTCTCTCGCAAATAAATAAAATCTTAAAAAAAAAAAAAGTGACTTTCATTTTGCAGTATTCACATTTATTTCTTTCAAGTTTGGCACCTTTGACTTTGTTTAAAATATATAGACTTAGAAAAAAAAAAAAAGATTGGAACTGAAGTGACCAGTGGATTTCTTCTTGATTTTGGAATTATCATGTATTAATTATTATCATGTATATGTATACATGACTTAATGTATATATATACTGTGGGGGACAAGAACAATATATAGTCTTGAATAGTTATTTGTTTAATGATTTCATATCTTATAATTTAAATGATGTTAAATTTTTTCTGAGAAGGGACTGTGTCTATATACTAGTGTACTAACTAGTGTAATGACTGGGACAGTGCCTGGCACATAGTAGGTGTCCAGTAAGATATTTATTAAATGAAAAAATGTACATATATAAATTTTGCATATTTGAAAATGTCATGTTTACATTTTTTGTTTGGAAAATGGGTTTGTGTGAGAGATAGCCTAAGGAACTGTTCCTTAATTGATAAATACAAATATATATTGTGTATTTCTGCAGTCATTGCAAAAAGATTTATTTTGGTTACATACTCAAAAATTGTGCAGAAATTTGAGATAGTAATAGAGCAGAGTAGTATGTGAAACAGGGGTTACTCAGGAGATTAGCTACATATATTTTTTAATGGGGAAGATGCTCACAAAAAATGTAGAATGTAGGACACTTGTGCTTTTGTAAACAATTAGATAGGAGAAGAAGGGCAGATTTCACTGTACATCTCCTTATTCCATACCTATACCATAGCTTTAGCATGGCCATTTTAATGATGAGAAAACTGGAGCAAAGGTTGTCAAGGCATGAACTAGAATGATGATAGTTTTATGGTATCTTTTAGAGAAGTAATTGCATTCCTACATCGGAATAAGTGGAAACTAGGAGTATACTTCCTTGCCTAGTGAAGAGTGGAGGCAGGTAGGATATAGGAAGATTAAGAGCCACAAGATTCGGTTTTACTTCTCATTTCTGAATACAGAGTTAACTCATCTTTCCACGGCTTCATAATCTGGAATTACCTTTGGAGTGGGAGGAGATTGGTGTGGGGGAGAGAGAAAGAAAGACTCTTAAGCAGGCTTTTCCTTTAAAAGTGTATTTGGGGGCACCTGGGTGGCTCAGTTGGTTAAGTGTCCGACTCTTGATTTTGGCTAAGGTCATGATCTCAGGGTCGTGAGATGAACCCTGTGGGCTGTATGCTGAGCATAGATCCTGATTAAGATTCTCAGTCTCCCTGTTCCTCTCACCCCACCCCTACCCCACCCCCAACTCATGGGCATGCAGGCACTCTAGCTCAGAATGGATGGATGGATGGATAGATAGATATAAATAAATAAAAGTATATTTGCATTTGCCCACTTAAGTTTATTGAAACTGAGCTTTTGTATGTCATTTCTTATTTTTCCCTTGACATGAAGTCTTACCTACTTGATGAAGAGTTCTTTTGAAAGGTGTACTGCAAGGAATGCAATGCTGTCTGTAAATTAACACTTTTACCAAGGTAAAGACCAAATTTTATCAATTCACATTCTGTTTATAAAAGGAAAAAATAACTTCTATATATTATAACATTCAAAAATTTGATCAAATATTTAACTGTATTGGCTTATTAAGTTGACAAAGGGGGGAAATGCTTTTCATTTTCGCATATTACACATCTTTGTGTTCCTAACCTATAGCAATGTGCTTAGCACATAGTAGGCTTTTCTTAAACATTTGATGTAGAAATAAATTTTATTATGCTACTTTAAAGCTTCTAAGAAATAGCAAATTATGCATATTTTTTCGGTTATAATCTTTAAACATGGGTTTTTTAATGTATTCTCTTATAAAAGAAAAAAATTTTTTGTATCTTTAGGTGCTAATGTGTGTTTAAAAAAACAAAAACCTTGGAGTAAAGTAGCAGCACATAATGGTTTGTGGATTTTGAAAAGGTGCAGGCCATATTGTGCTGCCTCAAAAATACAAGGATCTGATCTTCTGAAGAAAATATATTTCTTTTTATTCATAGCTCTTATGATAGTGATGTCAGCAGTGCCTTAGCAGCACGTAAATATTGGCGTTAAGATTCTAAAATTATCTCCAGTATTAACTGTGCTGCTGAAGTAAGGTTGGCCATACTCTACAGTCTGATATGTTTTACAGTTTAATATGTATTAATATTACTGATATATCTTCAGTTTTATTGATAATCTATTTTCAGTATTATTGATAATCTTGTTATGTTTAGAATGATTCTATAAAAACAAGTACTAACTTTTCCAATGTCTGTGTATTAAAGAAATATATAATTGTGGGGTGCCTGGCTGGCTCAGTCAGAGGAACATGCAACTCTTGATCTTGGAGTCATGAGTTCGAGCCCCATGTTGGGTGTAGAACTTACATATAAACATTTAAAAAAAATAAAATCTTTTTAAAAATAGAGTAAAATAAAATAATATAATTGCAATGTAATAATTGTGTTGAATGCCATCAAGAGTTTATTGAAAGAGCTTATATAGAGGGGCGCCTGGGTGGCTCAGTCATTAAACGTCTGCTTTCAGCTCCCGTCATGGTCCCAGGGTCCTGGGATCGAGCCCCGCATCGGGCTCCCTGCTCCGCGGGAAGCCTGCTTCTCCCTCTCTCACTCCCCCTGCTTGTGTTCCCTCTCTTGCTGTGTCTGTCAAATAAATAAAATCTTTTAAAAAAAAAAAGAGCTTATATAGAATCAAACTTATTTTATTGCATATTTATATCCAATGTAAATACTGAAATTTTTACTTAAATATTCATTTTCCCTTTGTTTCTCTAATGAAATGAAATTGAAGATATTTGCTTATCTTACAGATAAGTGTACATTTATAAAATATACATTCTGAACAGAACTTAGAAGACAGTTTTTAGTAGTGTTTCTAAATATTTCCTTATAAAGGAAGGGGGAACTATCAAAACATGTAAATTAAATTCCTGAAATCCCAGGACCCTGAGGTCAAGACCTGAGCCAAAGGCAGCCAGCCACTTAACCGACTGAGCCACCCAAGCGCCCCAGGAAAATGTTTTCTTTATTTTCTTTTTATTTTGTTATTTTATTAAGTCATTAAACTAAAAATTAATGTTCAGGATAAGACAGGCGTGTTTAGGGGCGCCTGGGTGGCTCAGTCGTTGGGCGTCTGCCTTTGGCTCAGGTCTAGATCCCAGCGTCCTGGGATCGAGCCCCGCCCCGCATCGGGCTCCCTGCTCCGCGGGGAAGCCTGCTTCTACCTCTCTCACTCCCCCTGCTTGTGTTCCCTCTCTCACTGCGTCTCTCTGTCAAATAAATAAAATCTTAAAAAAAAAAAAAAAAAAGACAGGCGTGTTTATGTAGTGTACCACACTTCTGGTCTTTTCTACAAGGACTATCTTAACCTTTTCAACTGTAACCAAGCAGAAAATCTACAAAATAAATGCAGTTCTTAATGAATCATTTCCAATTATTATTGTCTCTTTTAGAAACTCTAAAAGTATTTCAGATGTAAATTAAAGAATTGTATTTGAGGATCTTCTGTTTAAATTCTAATCTGAAGGTAAAGAAAATATATAAGATAAAGCTTTCATTTTTAAGAACAGTTTTTCCCCCAAATAAGGAAGCAGCATACCATATATATGGTATTAGTATTAAATGCCAGCATTTACATGGAAATAAGTATTGCCTTGGTGCTTTGAAAAATCATTCATCAAGCTCTTAACCTGTTTTCCTTTATTTCAACTCTTTTGTGAAAGACTGTAACAAATAAATGATGATTTTTAATTCCACTAAAAGTATTCCAGGATTTAACATCTAAATGCTTAGAAATATTTATTGAATAAATTACAGAGTTTGTGCAGTATTTTCCAGAACAACTCAGGAATTAGATTTCCTTTTTCTGTTTTTTGTTTTCCTAAGTATATTTTGACTTAATTTTAGAAAATTATATTTAGTCTAATCTGCTTTCTAAATGACAGAGAGAAAACCTGGATTTTACATTTACTAGGTGAATCTTTATATCTGGATGCTCCAGATGTGAAGAAGGAATATTTGGGGCTATTACAGCTAAAGGAAAACTTTCTTCTTTTAATCCTGAGAATGGATTAAAGAAAAATTGAAATATTGGCGAAGTGAGAAACTATAGAAAACCTGTTATATTGAAATTTATCGTAACAGCATACAGCTTCTTTCCAGTCTCTTACTAAAGAAGAGGAAATGGCCTATCAGTACCTAATGAAACACACATTTTAGGTAATTCAGTGGAACTGGGAAGTTTTATTTGTATGAGTTAATACACTTCCATCTTTGTGTAATTTTGAACACATAAAGCGCAAATAGTTAAATAAAAGTTATACCCTTTATAACCTAAATTTGGCTATTTTACAAAGAAAAATAAGTATGGGTGTGTATTAAATTTTCATTTTTCCATCTTCTTTGGAAAATATCCTCATTTTTTTCATTCAGTCTCTTTTTAAGTTGATGCCAAATAATTTCAATATTGAGCATCTTAAATCTTTTACTTGGAATATGGATTGAGTTTGGAGCTAATTCAGAGGACTCAGGCAAGTATCCAGGAGGCAGCAAGAGGAATATTTTAATAGTTGAATAACTCAGTTTATATCCTATATTTAAATGGAGATCTCCTAAGATCACACATACAGATATGTGATGGTAGATACGAAAATTTGGCCTTAGACTAAATTCTATACTCAACCCTAAAGGTTTTCTTCAATCAATTATATATCCTTTTGGTTGTTACAGAATTACATGTTGTTTGTAAGCCACTAAGTATCATTATGGATACATGCCCAGGTTAGCCATAATTGGATAAGCAAGATTATACTTTCATAAACTGTGATCTCTAAGTTAATTATTTATTTATTTAGAAGTTGACATTCTAAATCAATTTTTTTTCCTTTTGCAGGTGGATATTACTATCCCTTATTCATCGAAAAAGTTTTAATTCTAAGTGTTTTTTCTCATTGAGTATTAACAAGGAGAAAAACTAATGTCCCAAACTTTTGAGATAGATTTGGCTCTAGTAAGTATTTAGACATATTATTTGCATATCTAGGAGAAGAAATGAGACCATCATCATTTCCAGCTAAAATTATTTTTCTTACCTCTGTCAAAGGATTTCTTGCAATTTCTGTCTTATTACTAATAACTTGAGCCCCTTTAATGCAGAACTAACTCACCAGAAATGTGAGTGTGTATGTTCTTGCCTTGTTTGTTTAAAAATATATCTCACAGATTTCTGATGTCTTTTTTTTTTTTAAGCTATATACAATGAAGAAAATATTGACAAAATAAATAAGTTTATACCTTTTATGTTAAAGTTACTGTGCAGGGTGACAAGTTAGTTGCCTTTTTTTTGCTTTATTATTACTGAAATTAAATTCAACATTTATAATTTCTATTTGGGTCTATTTCTTGATTACTAATACATGGAATTCATGCAAAAACTTTATGAGTAAAATACTTAAATTAGCGTATCAGTGATTATAGGTCCCCCTTAATTCTGTGAAACTTTGAATAATATATTTATTGTATTCTTGTGTTTGAACTTTTGTGTTTTGAAGAAATATAAACTACCCGGAAAATGTTGTTATTGTTTCTATTTATCATATGCTGTAGGATTAGATTTTAAGCAATTAAGCTTTTAAGCTACTTTTACACAAAATGTTACTCAGTCTGGTTAACTTGTTATTTAAAAGTATTTTGTATATCTTTGTTTTATAATTTAACCACCCACATGGATTATTCTATTAAAGAATATCTTTAGGAAGTGGTAGAAATTCTGAATCACCCCAGAGTTTGCTTATTTCCACATTTCATTATTTTATAATCTTTGGGAATGCTTATATTATAGCATTTCAGGGGTATAAGTTCTTATAGTACCACTAAAACTTTTTTCTTTTTTGTATTTAATGCATATGATAGTAAATTACAGGAGATTTTTTTGTTTCCCTGTCATCAATTAAAAATGCCATTTTAGCATGAAACAAACAGTGAAGAAGGGTATTTGTTGTCCTGTAGTATAAGTCAAGAAGGTTTAAGTACATCATTCCTTAAGAGAATTTTTAAATTGTAAAATAATTAATGCAGATTTTTATATTATTTAGTTTATATTTTCATGAATATCTTGTGGCAGTGTGAAAATGCTAATGTTTGACAGGGAGCATTAAAATTAGATTTGAAACATTATATATAGAGAGGTACAAATTTATTCTGTTTAAATTCTGAGGATCAACACCAAACAAAAATAAATTTCCACCCTCATAGAGCTTACAGTCTTGGGAGTGAGACATAGGTAATAGAATAGACAAAAAAAAACTGATAGGTACTATATGTGGTGTGTCAGATCTAAGTTCTATGTAGAAAAATAATGCAAGGAAGGGGAAAGAATGGAATAAAGGTGTTTAGAAGGCAGGAGAGAGATGTTTTTAAGTATTATAGTCAGAAAATGCTTCACGGAGATGATATTTAGTAAGACAACGATTTTTAAAATGATAAGGAGTAAACCATTAGGTATCTGGGAAAACAGCCTTTCAGGTAGATGAAATAACAACTACAAAGATTTTGAGGCTGAAGCATTTTTGGTGTGTACAAGGAACAGCAAGGTCTGGGTGGCCATGATTAAATATACAAGAAGGAGACTTGTAGCTCAGGGGATCGAAGAGTTTATAGGGGCTAGATTTTATGGCTGTTTAAGCTTTTAGCTTGCTCTACAGATTTAATTTTTCATACTTCTTTAAGAGAACCTTGACAGTGGTATGTGCTTCAGCCTATTTGACCTTTGTAGGTAGAACAATATTTACGAATCTGACTCAAGGTTTAGAACCTCCATCTGACACCATTTAGAATATAAACAAAATGTTTAAATAGTTGGTGAATAGGTACATGTGTAATGATCCGGTTTTTACAGATTGTGCTTTCATGGCTCTGAAGTTGTTTTCCACTTGATCAGTTTAGCTTGTCAATGCTAACGGCTCCAGGAGACACTGACCTTACTCATGTTTGTCATTTACCCAAAAGAATCACCGCCATCTTTGACTCCTCCCTTCTGGAATTGCTGCCATAATTAAGTATTTCATTATTTGTCACCTATTCTGTAGCATCTTATCTGAGAAGTTCTTTGCCTGTAATTGTTTCATTCGTTATTGTATATATCCCACTAATTTAATCTTCCTAAAACACTACCTTTGCTTATAGGATAAATTTAAACTCCTTAGCTTGTACCTCATGATCTTGCCCTTACTTTAAGTTTTTCTGTTTTTCTTCAAGGGAACTAGTCTTGATCCATCCAGTTTTTCTGTTTGCCTTTATTTATGCCATTTCACCCACCACAACTCTCCCCCAACTAATTCTTGTACATGCTTAAAAATGGGCCAGACTTTTTGTGTGTGGTAAATGTTTCCTTACTTTAACAATAAGACATTACCCCTCCTTCTTGTGGTATGAACAATTTATATCTGTAGTTCTTAACCTTTTTCTCTAACTTAACACACCTGAGGGACAGAACGCTTCATCATTAATTGTGCCTCATTTATTAATACATATTGACCTTTTAAATATATTAGCATATGAATAAAAATTTAAAATTTTATAAACAGAATGAAGAAAAGCAAATGGACTAAGATGCCCAGAACTTGAAAACATCAGCCTAAGTATCAGGTTCCAAAGTTTAAATACTAATTTTATGCTGATGAGTGATATAGTTGATTTTTTTCCTCTGTTATATGAAAAGCTCTTCCCCTCCCTCCCTCCTTTCCCCCGCTTCCCTCTCTCTCTTTCTCTCTATCTCACCTATAACTGAGTATGGACTAGCCATATACATTTCTAGGATTTTAGCATATTTAAAAGAATAATAAATTCTCTTTTAATTTTTCAATATTGTAAAAGCAATTAATAAATATACTCTTTTAAGAAGTAATCCATGTGTTTATTATAGTATTATTTATAATATTAAAAATTTGGAAGAGTTTTTAAAGTGTCCAGTAATAAAAGGCTGATTAACATGCTGAGTGGAATATTGTGCAGCTCTTTAATGTAATGAATATTTAATCAGCTAGAAAATTGTTCACGATTAAAGATATGTCAGATATTTTCAGACTCCTTAAACGAATACATTTGCTAAACTGTTATTACTGATTTATTGCAGGTGTAAGACAAATCTTATTAGGATGAGGGGGGTGGATCTTATTTTCATAATTACAAATAAGCATGTATCATTTTTGTGACTCAGGGAAAGGAAAGTTTGTTTTCTGAAAAGGAGAGAGAGAAATCCTTGAAAAATAAAAATTATTTGAACCAGACTTACAACCACATAATCAACCCCCTTTGGCAATCTGTAAATGGAAATCCTATGGGGTTCAGGATCTTTAGAAGTGATAATGAAGAATTAACTATCAGGGAAGAACTGAACAGGTAATTTCAAAACTCAGATAATTTTAAAATCAAGTGTAGGGAAGCAATCTATGTGTTCTCAAAGGCGTGTTGAAAAGAATTCAAGAATTTGTTGAGTGGTTTTGCTGTCATTTCTCCACTCCAGCCCCCCAAACCTCAAAAGGTAAGTATAAAAAAAAAGATAAATCTATTTTAATTTTGAAACCATATTAATGAACTATATAAAAAAAAAACAAATCTAGTTTATTTTATAGTTATAAATATTTAGCAGCAATTAAACTGACTTTCAGATCTAAAAATTAAGAATTTTCCTGTTTTGGGTCACCTGGCTGGCTCAGTTGGTAGAGCATGTGACTTGATTGATCTTGGGGTCATGAGTTCAAGCCCCACTTCAGGTGTAGAGCTTACTTTAAAAAAAAAGGGGGGGGGAATTTTCCTGTTTAAAAAGATTTGTCTTAATTTCTCCTAGCATAAAAGTAATACATAGGCATAGAAACCTTGGAAAAGGCAAAAAATTCTATTTAAAAATCACATTTTTACCATCCAGTAGCAACTTACTATTATTAGCCTCATTCCCTTTAGTTGCTTAATTTTTATTTCTTAATCCTATTCATAACTATGCCAGGGATAGAAATCTAGAGTATCTCCCTCTAGAAAAGAAAGATGGGATATGCTTCTAGCTAAGAAATTTCTTTACATTTATCTAAAATACACCTTAAACTACTAATTTTGTAATATGTTCCATAATATTTTACTGTAAAAATCCTTAAATTTTTTTATTAACTTTTTTCCTCAATATTAGTAAATTTGAACATATGAGAAGATACATCCTGTTGACCCTGTGGTTCCTCTACCACAGCTTCATGCCAGCCCCAAGGGTACCTTTACATAGTGTGAGAAGCGTTCTGAGGCAAGGGAGGTCATTGAAGTTTTTTTAGCAGGAGAGTAAGAAAAATAACCACCGAAGTATGTGTAGTGGCTCAAGATTTGCTCAAAGAGAAATCTAAGACTGGTATATTACAAGTTTCTTTCTTTTGTATCTCCACAACCATATCAAATTTATCAAAAAGCTGAGCTATTCTCAAATTGTGGAATTTGTATTTAATATTCAAAAAGCATTTACTATGGACATTTCAGTTCAAAATATGGCTAAATGTAAATATGACACAAATGTATGGATTCATAGTATATGACTTTTCTGTTACAGTGACCCATTTAGAATGTAAGCAAAAATGGTATGTCTCAACTTGTTTTTCTCACATGCAAATATTTTAGAACTTAACAAACTCTTAAGAACAGTAGTAATTTAGAAAGGGAGGTTTAGAACCTGAAAACAACTTGGCTAATAGAACAAAGAAAATATTTTGGGGGAAGTCTAAAAATCTTTATCTATGGGAGGGGTATTTGTCACCAAAACAGGCCTATGGTACAGATTTCAAGTCAGATTCTCTGTTGTGCCGT